GAAAAAAACAAAGCGATACAAACAATCATCGTCTACATCGGCCCCTCCCCCAAAATCTCCCCCGATGGCCAACATTGAACGTAGTTCTAGCACGAACTAGAGAGAAATCATTACCAGGGTCAGAAACCCCACATAAATCTGGAGAAGCCAAACCACCTTCAGACAATTCATTTTTAGAATCACCATACGAAGAAACATTAAGCCAATTAAGATGGTTCCTAATATCCAAACCAGAAGACTCACCCAAACAATTAGCCATAGCTTGCGTATCGATCAAATTCACTTGAACCTCAATTAATTTGCTGGAAATCGGATTACCCACATCCCTGACATCAGACGAAGGAGGCTCAGCCTCAAGCACAATAGGAGCCAAAGCAACAGACGACGTAGGAGCACCACCTTCCGAAAAATTCAAATTGTCGGTAGAGATAGTCTGCATAATTTCATTGCTAACAGACGCTACAGCATGAGGAAAAAAAGGTATAGCATTAGGTGATAAAGCAACCGTAACAGAATCAAAATTCATTCCGCCAACACCTAGCTCTCCATTAGCCACCATAGCAACCAAAGGTTCATTCAAAGCACCCTGAAGTAAAGTAACTGAAACATTATCTTCCTTAGTAGTAGGAGTTTCTACCATTAATGGGAGAGCAGAAGGATCCAGCTCGGCATTAATAGTAAGACAATCATCCACAATCGAATACACCTCACCATTCACAAACTCACCATTCACATCCTTCAATGAAACATAAACTCCCTCACGAACAGGGGTAGAATAATGAGGCACAGCCTCATGGGAATTTTCAGGAAGAAAACCAGCGTTTACATTTTCGCATTCCACAGCAATATGAGTAACAACCTTATCGACATTTCCCACCTCTAAATTAGCTAAAGGGGGAAGGGAAGAGTTCTGAATGATAGGTGCAGAAGGAGGGCAATTGCCGAGCGAGTGACCAATACATTTACATCCGGCACAGAATTGAGGGAATTCGTCAAAAATCACCTCTTGAGTGTAACCTAGAGATTCCGAACCTAGCCAAACTTGCTTAGGATAGGATTTCGTTATATCTAGTTCTACAAGCACACGGGCAATAGATGGTCGGGATCCAACAGCAGTAGCTTCGTCAATTTTCAATGGTTTCCCAAACAATCCGCCAAGACCAAAAAGAATCCGAGGCGAAAAGAAATGGGGACGAAGACGAGGAAACGAAATCCAGATAGGTATCACCGGCGATTCAACACCAATGTCCAAAATAGGCGACCACTTCGTCAATTTCATAAAGCAGTTGAACACAAGGTAGGAGCGGTGACAAAACACCCTACAATAGTCTAAATCATTCGATAGCTTGATCAGAATGTGAGAAGGATCTAAAATCGTAACAGAGACTTCATTTTCAACTTCAAATTAAAAAAAAAATTTACGAATAGATTCGAGAGAAGGCCTTCTAAAAGGAAAAAAACCCACTAGAGACAACTGAAAGGGGGCAGCAAGCTCATAAATTTCCTGATCAGAAACCCATAACGACGGTAAGCCACGAAACGTGGAAGCATGCAAATCCGGAAAAGATGACTTAGGCCCAACAAGAGCTTCAAGAAATGAACGAGAATGAGACATCCCCCAAAAAAAACCGGGGTCTCTCAACATAACAGCCCCCATGCCGGCACAGCCGGCAAAGACGAAGTAAAAAGCAAAATAACGTTACCAAACGAGAAAGAAGAAGCAGAGAAGACCCCCACCGGGTAGGGGAAGATGCCCGGAGCCACGATCCCCGAAACCCTAGCAGAGCTCGAAAGGTGACATATATGATGAACATGAACTTAATTTAAATATCAATATCTACCTCACAATTGCAAAGCAATCTCTACGACGTACGACGTTGCTTAGACACGTGTCGTCCCCTTAATCCACACCTAAGGATAATTACAATCAGATTAAGCATAAATCATAGAATATTTTCAATAATTAGGTTTGTTAAAATTCTATTTTCGGATATATTAAAAATCCAATTTTTAGGAAATCTAAAATTCTCTAGTTCTATTCCAAATGCATTTTAAAACGTTTTCATTATTAATTTCATAATTAGGGCTTAATATTTTCATATTAATTTAATAAGAGAAAAATGCAAATTCTTAAAAAAAAAATTCAAAATTTCATTTTAGAAACATTCTTAGGACCCATAGGAAACATTTTTGTGAAATATCTTTAAGGAATTTCAAATTTTAGGAAAACCTAATTTTTTAATCTCAAAATTTTTTGGGAAAACTAGTAATTTAATGATACAAATCCTTTTCTAAATCTTCTCTATCATTTTTCAAAACAAAAAAAAATCAACTTTAAAGAAACCGTAGAAACTCTCTTCCAAAAATCTATGGAGAAAGAGGAATTTCTTAATTCTAATCATGCATTTTTCTTCTCTTAGGCTTTCTCTATGATTTTCCCAAGTTCGGTCGCTGGAAACCACCACGAAAGCCATGCCTTAAATATGAAATCGTTAAACTTTCAAGTTATTTTTGGAATATCCATATCTTATTTCTGATTTCAAAGATTTCGTGTTTTGATATTTTTTTGCTCAGATTTTTGTTTCAGTTACCGAAAAACGTGCATAACTTTGTATTGACGAAACTTTTACCGTGTAACTTTTTATATTTTATAGAGATCATGATTATGAGCATTTTGAATATTTATTTGAGATTTTTCACTGGGTGATTCTGAAAATGTGCATTTTTGTCTAATAGGATTTTTTGTTGTATATCGTTATGATATTTTGGCATCCTCTTGATTAAGCTTAATTATGCACTATTTGTTATAATGCATTAAAATGGATGTAGATATGTGCTTGAGTAATAGTTGGTCTCTATTACTATTATAGTATATTGATAATATTATATGTGTATGAAACAAACAAGTAAAGACTGGTTGACCCCTTGGTTGGAGATTGATTTACCTGTACAGGATTGTGGGCCGACGGGCTTTCCTTTAAATATTGCAGTTTGGTGTTATCCTATACTAATTCACGTGATACACTGATTGGGAGTTATAAGGAGATTATTATTGTGCCAACGAGAAAAGGGTGACGATTCTATTTACTGAGCCAATGGTTTACTAACACTGATACTAACACTGAAAAAAACACCGTGATAGCCAGGACTTCTACTTGTTTAGTGTGACTACTGAAATGCATAATCCTGAGATATATTTCTTAATATTTTATAGATTTATTTTTACTGCACGAATTTATTGTTATATCATTACTCTACTATTCCTACCATCGGATTACTACTGTTACTGATATAGACACTGATACTATTTGATATTACTACTTCACTTTACTGATCTTATGCATGTGATACACTGAGCAAGCAATAAAGAATAACTGAATAGAATATGTACCTTCTGATATGATTTTACTACATAGATTTGATTTCAACAGTCATTAATAATGTTTTATTTGACGCTTTATATGATTTTATACTTATTGATATTATTGATATGACAATTGCTTTACAAATTTGACATTCGTATTAATTTATTGCTTTACTGACTTTTGTTCTGTGGTATTTTATTGTTTACAGATTCTTCTGCTACTTCATTTGAGTTTTATTATTCTTGCACATATTCAATGATCATAGGACTGCTACTTCTATGATTTGATCATTAATATGCATATTGCTCTTTTACTGTGTTTTGAATTCAGCTTAAGGTTTTGGTGACCTGCTGGACTTTTTTTTAAGCTCGTTATATGTGGTTAATTGATTTCAGGTAAGGAGTCTGCTGCGTGAAGCTTTATACTGACACTAGTATAATTATTTGTTAGCTTTTGGTTCATGTATTTTTGTAGCCAGTATGCTATTATATATATTCTTTTGAACGTTACTTGTGGATTGTAATTATGAACTATCGTAATGTGAATTATATTTTATATTTTATTTGCTTTCTTTAATGCAATATCAACTTTGGATGTTTGTTTTGATCTGGAATGGATGCTTGTATTAATCTGGAAGAAATATATATATATATATATATATATATATATATATATATGTTCTTTCAGTTAGATCATGGGGCATTACATTAAATCCTCCGTCTCGTGCTCCTCCTTCGGTTCGGCAGAACAAAACAAAGCAGAAGAAATGAATGGATCGAACTCTATTCGGTTCCTTAAGGCTTCAGTTGATTAGGGATTGTCAAAGGACCATTTTGTCCTTTCAAGCCTTATATTCGCATTAATATCATTAGGAGTAATTTAGGTATAATAATTCCATGATTTTTAATTTCAAATTTAAGCTAAATTCACTATATGTTCTTTATTAATTTGCTCGAAATTTTGCATAGAATTTTATAAAATTAATTTCGTCGAATTCCGACAACTTTGAAATTTCATTTAAATATCATCGCGACGCATCGAGATGCATGCAACACTTACTGTCGTCAATTTTGGGTTTTACAAATGCAGTAATTAGAGCTCCTAATCATGCCATAATTAGAGCTCCTCTAAATACGACCCTATTTTGGAAAGCAAAAAGGTTTCCATAACAGACCCTTCTTAACATTTCTTCATGCACTCTCAACTCTGCAGCAACTTCTATATCAACTTATAGATGTTGGAGTATCTACGACAAATAAATAATAATAATCATCAAAATTAACAATCCAAAATGATATTATATAATTTAAAATAACACTGTCAAATGCATTGCATTTCATAAATAATATTGTAATATTGCTACAAATAACTATGTCTAGATAATATTAAATCAAACATGCCCTCATGTGTTCCACAATAAAGGCCAATAAATAGAGCAAATTGACGAATATCATAAACTAAAGATAGGACTGGAAGAACCGTCTGGACATATGAGTGTAATTGTTCGGACATGTAAGTGTAACTGTCCAAACATATAAGTGTAAACTCACATGTCCGGACGGTTCTTCCGGTCTGGACTCCTCACAGAATAATTTCTCCAGAAACTGCCAGTTCTATACACTATAAAACAGCACCTCAATATGAACTCTCTTATGTTTATTCATCAAAATGCAAAACCTCTTAACGAAAAACACTGAAAAAAAAAAATTTGAATTCATATCTTTTCTCTGCAATCAATAAGAAGGAATGCTAATTCAGATTGAGATATTGTAGCGCTTAAAAAAACCAGGCCTGTAGCTTTATTGTGCAAATAAAAGTTTCAGGCTGCAACTATACATGATTTATGATAAATAAATGTTATACTTTACCGAAGAGTAGAAATAGTATGAGCAAGAATATAATGGTGGTGCTAGCGTCCAAAATCCAAAATCCTATGCACCGTTTGAATTAGGTTTCTTCTGAAAAAGCAGTCAGCTAAGAATGTGATACAAATCATATCACTTCCAAATTCTAGATTTGCAGATTAAAAGCTGAAGCATAGAGGTTGAAATCCAATACTCAATCAACAGAAGTGTATTTTCGAATCGCACCTATGATCCTCTCTTTGTCTCTGGTTGCAAATGCTTCCAAAAGAACCCCATCTTTGTAGAACTGAAATAGCGGCACTGTCTGCAGAAGTTGCAACACAATCAATAAAAATAAACAGTACTGAACAGTCAACAAGATTTTCAGTTTTTTAAAGGTAGCCTAATTCAGTGTGATGGTTTTGGAGTCTCCTTTAAGAACAGGATGATTCTAGCAGAAGTTCGAAATTTAATTTGTCTTAAGGTTTTGTTGAGCTAGATTGATAAGGATAATAATAGATCCTAATTATTTAAGTTATTTTAATTTTAATAAGTATTTGTATTTCTTATAATATAGCTCGATGAATTTATTATCACAATTTATTTTTAATGGTCTCTCAATACTATGAACAATAGGCAACCAATGATATAATTTTGAGCCATATTCTTTAATTTAAAGCATCATAGACATCATAGACAGCTGCACATCCTAAAGTTGATGTTTCACACTCTTCTATAACATAGCTCCTCAAGCTAATATGGAATGTATAGCCATATTCTTTAATATGAATGTTTTAAAGTTGATGTTTTACAAATATGAGACTCCTATTGCTGATGACCATTGGAGTGTTTCCACCTCTTTCTTCTCAAATTTGGCCCTTGGGAATTCAAGCAAATAGAATTTTATAAGAGCCCAAAGGAAACCTTAAATCTAAGAGATCTCAAAATTTATCCAAATTCCAGATGCTCTAACCCTAAGAAAATCAACTATTTAATGCATACAAATCAAAAGGAAATCCCTAAACAGTCCCTACATTCAAATTTCCCTCTCAAAACCCTCAAAAATCCTTCCTAAAGGGCTCCGATTGGGCGTTTGGACCGCCCGATCTCCACAGGAGGCGGAGATCCCGCCTCTGTTTGTGAAAAGCCGGTCCCGTGCAGACCGGCTGGACCGATCTAACAATATCCCATTTGCATTGTAATTGAGAATGTATGCATATTTAAATTTGATTTCTTTCTTTCATTTTTATAATCCTACCACCTCCCATATTTGATTTATCTTCAGGGATCTTTTTTTTTTTTCAATCAAGTTTTTTTTCCCTTTCTTTAATCTCAAGTATTTCTTAAATGGTTCTTGCTATCTTGAATTGCTAATCTCAATAAAAAAAGGCTTTATTGGTAAGGAAAGGTTGCAAAGAAAAATAAATTTGGATGGTGGGTGCATTTTCATGTCCCTTTTCTTAGAGCAATATGAAGACAAAAACCATGATGATGTTGAGCGACAATAGAAGAGTCCATAACTTCATTAAGTTGTGGATGAAGTTGCACATCTTGATGGCTCAAGGTTGGATTCTTTACAGCAATCACCAATTAATTTGTCTAATGTTTTCAAGGCATGCAATTTTTCTATTTCTTCTTATTTTAGTCATTCTATTTTTGAGTTTTATCTGTTTTCCTCCATAGAAGTGTTGTTGGCTTGTTGATGTTATGCCTAGTTTTGATATATAGTCTTGTTTTTAGGCATGGAGGCTTACCTTAGAGTTTCTAGCATATTGCTTTCGTATGGCCTACCATTTTATAGTAGATACAAAACATACTTTCCCCATACTTGGACCTAGGCAGGTTAAGTTTGAGCTTGGCTAGTTCAATTTTATTAATATTGTGTGCAAGGGCAGCAATCAGGGCAGAGCTTTCACCAGCAGGAGGTATATATAGCATAACACCTTGCCGCCCTTCTTCAATTTGAATAGTATAAAAAAATTTATTTAGGTTTGGAAGGAAATCTTGTTCAAGTATTTCCAAAAGTATTTAGATATATTCAACATTCAATCAAACTAAAAATTCCTAATTTTTTTCTTTTTCCTTAATATAACATAGCTGCATCTTCACCACACCAAATTTGAATACATTAGTAGTTTCAAGCCACAATTATTTTATTTTATTATAATACTCAATTAGGTAGAGGCAGATCTAAAAAGACTTGGTTAGAAAATATTAGAAATGAACTTTCTCTATTAGATTTAAACGAGAATTTGACTTTTAATAAGACACAATGGAGAAAAAGGATTCATGCAGTTGACCCCACGTACTGGGATAAAGGCTTGTTGTTCTTGTTGTATTATAATACTCAATTATTGAAAGAGTATGTCTTGCTTAGTACTGTGAATTTTAGTCTTAATTTCATAGACTAAGGCAACATTATAAACCTTTAAATATGCTTGTTTCACCCCACACACACACACACACACACACACATATATATATATATATATATATATATGAATAAAATCCACGGAGGGGCCTACGCGCTAGATAAAAGGAGCAATACAAGTCCTTAAAGAACCATAAGCTAAGATAAAAATACAGCATTTGAAAAAAACCTAAGAGCTACTGATTTTATCTATTACAATTAATCAAAATTAAAAACAAATAACTCAGAGTCAACCCAAAAGAATACATCAACCAAAGAGACAACAACCTGCAACTAGCAAAATCCAAAAGGAAGACCCACAACAACCAAGAGAAACAACCTGCAAAAACAAAAGAAAAACCAAACAAAAAACCCACAGCCAGCACACGAAGAAACCAAACAAGGAGAGGCAAAAAAGAAACATAACCACAATTATTTCTTTTTAGATTTCAGCCTTCGCCATTTGCCACCACCATGAGAAAAAGTTTTTTGAACAATACGACTTACATTTAAATATACATCTCTTGAAAGGCATCATCTGACCATCCAAACCATCCCCACAATGCGAAGATAAATGCCCATCCAAACAATCTGTTTGATCCTCACAAGTTTGTATGAAATTGTAAGCCAATTGGAGTTTCAAATCATCAAAAGAGATAAGCGCAATCAGAACATCAACAAACAACTCATTCCCATTCAACTCAATACAAGCAGGGAATTCAATATCGGGAGAATTTAATCCAGGCTCAACTACCTGATCAACCACAGCATGAAGGTGTTAAACGCCCAAATCAACTAAAGCAACATCACTCTCAATAGGCACATCAGAAACCAAAACATTTAAATGCCTAATAGCTTCATATACCACAGGTTCCAAATAACTAGAAAAACCACCAGAATTTGAAATGGGAGAAGCGGTGGGGCTATCAATAAAGTTAGTTCTAAAAGCCTCATGATTCGAAACCGCAGAAACACCCTCAAAATTAATGCTCGAATTAGCCACATGCAAAAGAGATGTCGATGGATACACTCCTACCACATTAGTAACAACCTGAGTCCCCGAGACAATAACACCATGAACAATAGTCAAAATATCAATAGCAGCAACAACATCAGAAATGCCACCAAAATCCACCCTCACTGTAACATTGTCCTGCCGAACATCAACCCCAGTCACCACCACCCCAAGACCAGAAACATCACTAGAAACAACATCATTTACCCCATTAATGAGCACGTCATTATTAAACATAACAGGACACAAAGAAGTGGAAGGATTATCTAAATTATCAATGGCAGCAACAACCTTTCCATCTAAAACAACCATTTCCAAACCAGCAGATGCATTCACAATAGCATTCCCAGCATACGAATGAGGATTAGAAGTAATAGTAGGACCATTCTTCAGGGAAGATGAATGGTAGGAACATCCACCCCTAACAATGTCCAATGTATTTACAGGAATCACAAAATGATAGAAAATCTTCCATCTCAACCATCTGAATGTACCCGAACTTTTCAGGACCAAGCCAGACTTTGTTTGAATATTTTTTTGTAATGTTAATCTCAACTAAAGCACACACAACAGAGGACCGAGAGCCCATAGAGGTAGCATTGTTGACTCTTAAGGGCCGACCAAACATATAGAACCCAAATCGTGAAGGATCCGTAGAGAAAAACGATGAGGCCTTAGTTTTGGAAAGGAAATCCAAATGGGAATCATAGGGAACTCAACACCGATATCAAGAGAAGGGGATCATTTGGTTAATTTCATGAAACAATTATTTACAAAATATGATTATGATTAAATACTTTGCTATAATCAATATCATTTGTCAACTTAATCAGAACATGCAACAGATCGAGCAAAGTCATAGAAAAACCGGCATTAAGCTTAAGGTTGAAGAAGAACTTGCAAATAAAATCCAAACTAGACTAGCGTGATGGAGAAAACCAATCAACGCAGATTGAAAAGGAGCCGCAAGCGTAAGAATCTCATCTTTCGAGATCCACAAAGAAGTTATACAATGAAATGAAGATGGTTTTAACTCAGGAAGCAAACATTAGAGGAAGAACCAGCTATGACATCAATGAAATATCATGATTTCACATATTCACCCAAAAAACCAGGATCACAAACTCGATTCACCGCCATTCCGTCCGCAAAGGGCTGGAGGGGCTGGAGCTGGACGAATCGAGAAGGACAAACAAAAAACATGATAAAACTCAACAAAAAAAGGAGAAACAAGAAGGAGCTTATCAGGCCGGCCCAAGGGCCGGCTGAACCGGTCCATCCTGGACCGGTTCAATGTTAAAGGAGGCGGACCAAGGGGGCGGGCGAACAAGGGAGACGAGAGATGGGGCGGCTGGAGCTATGAGACCCACTTCTTAATTAAATTTTGCTTGGGAGGGAAATTTAAATTAAGGGCTATTTAGGAATTTTGTAATTGTCCTCTTTGCTTTAATTAGTCATAATGGTTAGGGTCAGGTTTTCATCTTGAATTGGAATATGAAATTTGAGATCTTCCTTATGCTTGGGCTCTTTGCTTGGCTAGAGATTTGGAGAGTCGTTTCTTCCTCTTAAATTGAAGAAACTTGTATCATTTGATGTTTTTCTTCATTTTCTAGTGGAATCCAACGTTTTTCTTTCAGGTTTCTACAACTTTTCTCAAGTGACTACTGTAATATTGTTGTTTTGCCTTCATAAAACATTAGATTTTCTGTTGGAGGTGACTATTTCCTATCAGAGCTTTTTTGAGATCACTAGCAGACGGCATCTTTGGCCACCGGTAGGGACCCGGGCGGTGGGAGGAAACCGTAGCACACGGGAGGTAGTAACGATCCTGCAATCGGGAAAAAGGAGGAAGAGTGTGTTTTTGTTTCACCATATCCCAAATATCTTAAGTTATGATTAGGGCATTGCATGTTTGCTAATT